CAGCCTCTGCAGCCGAGTGCAGGCCAGGAGAGGAAACAGCGGGCCCATCTCCCACGGAATTGGCATGGCTCCCTCCCTGCTCCCGTAGGCTCTGGCTGTTCACTTCCACCTCCCATGGAAGCAGCATGGCTCCCGGCGGTGTGCTGCAGTTCCCGCCGGCTCCCACAGAAGTGTGGGGCAACCAGGCCTGCAGGGAAAGGCAGTTGGAGTGGACCCAGGCCTGCAGGGGAGACCAGTTGGGAGGAGTATGCCTGCAGGAGAGGGCAGTTAGGGGTGACCAGGCTTGCAGGGGAGGGCAGTTAGCGACAAACAGGCTGGCAGGGGAGTAATTAAGTATCAATCAGGCTGGCATAGGAGTAGCAAGGGGATGATCAGCCTGGCAGGCAGAAGTGGTTAGGGGTAATCAGGAAGGCAGGCAGGCGAGCAGTTGGGAGCCAGCAGTCCTGGATTGTGAGAGGGATGTCTGACTGCCTGTTTAGGCCCGATCATACCGGGATCAGACCTAACTGGGCAGTTGGACATCCTTGGAGGGGTCCCAGGTTGGAGAGGGTGTAGGCTGGGCTGAGGGACACCCAACCGCCCCAGTGCATGAATTTCATGCATTGGGCCTCTAGTTGTATGATAATATTTAGAAGTTAAAAGTATGAATAATTATTATGCTATACCCTCCTTTTCATCTCACCCAAAAGTTAATTGGTAATTATAGCAGAAGATGGAAATTTATCATTGATCTTAATCATGAGGTATAGTTTTAAGTGGCATAATATGCACTTAAGAATCAATTTACCCCTAGCCAGTTTGGCTCAGTGGATAAAACATCAACCTGCAGATCAGCGGGTCCCAGGTTCAATTCCTGTCAAGGGCTCGTACTTCGGCTGCAGGCTCCTCTCCAGCTTAGGCGCTGGTCCAGAAGGTAATCAATTGATGTGTTTCTTTCACATTGATGTTTCTCTCTGTCTCCCTATATCTTCCAGTTTTCCTAAAAATCAATGGAAAATATCCTTGGATGAGGATTAACAACAACAATAATAAAAAAAAAAAAAATAGAGAATCAATTTAACATTTGCTCTTGTAATTTAAAGGCAGTTCTTGGAGTGGAAAAATAATTTCATCTTATAGAATTCTTTTAAGTTTCTTGTTTTGAATGAAGACATTAATTGGGAGTTCCGGTTACCCCTGTTTGGAAATATTTCATTATTATTGCTGGCAACCATATGTTTTGTATGTTGTAACTTAACATATCTATAAGAAAGAAAACTGGAGAGAAGAAAAGTAGGAAGTTAAATGGGAAAATGGGGAAATCTGACGAAAACAGCAAAGTTGTTCTCTAATTTCTAAATGAGTAAAAAGTGGGCTTTATAAAACAAGATAGAACAAAGGTTAAATTTCTGCCTCAGCACACACACTTTTGTCACCTTTGCAAATTACTTAACCTCTCTGAATTTCTGGGAGTCTTTTATTTGTAGAATGAGGTTATGTTACAAATCTTTGTGAGCTCCTTTGAAGATTAAATGAGCAGAAATACAGCTACTTAACTGAGCCCTGACATATAATTTTATTGAGCCTTAAACATTTATTTAAGACTGTACCAGCTTTATCTTCACAATTGCCCCCAATTGTGGCTGAAAAAATGACAACACAGAAATGTTAAATGTATGATCAAGACCATACCAATAAATAGCAGCTAGAGGATTTTAACCAAGACATTTTAACCTTAAGAACCATTACCATTAATTGTATTTATGTTCTTGTAATTCTTAGGACATACTTTTTCATGAAAAGTGATAGATATTTTATTACCATTACAAGTTCTATTAGAATCACTACTATTTAATGTCTTAGTACAACCTGCTTTAATGTGTAAGAATTTCTCATTTAATAGATTGTAATCTAGCTTTGTAAATGCTTCCAGAGTCAAGGAATTTTATTAATAGTAAAGCAAACCATCTCCTTGTTAGATAACTCAAAATGTAAGGGATTTCTCTTTATCTTCTGACAAAAGTTTTGTCCTCGCTGGTTTTACCCATTGGGTCTAATTCTCTGCCCTGTGGAGAAATAGTCAATGGACAGCTACTTTTATAGACTAATGCTTAAATGATTAGGCAACAATTTCTCTTTATCATCCTATGCTAAATACCATTATCTATCCAACAACACATATCCATATTGTTTTTGATTGAGGGCCTTCTACACTGAATGCATTCCAGTTCTTTTTTTAAATGTGCTTATTGCCTTACCAGGTGTGGCTCAGTGGATGGAGTGTTGGCCTGCAGACTGAAGTGTCCTTGGTTTGACTCTGGTCAAGGGCACATGCCCAGTTTGTGGGCTCGATCCCCAGTGTGAGGTGTGCAGGAGGCAGCCTATCATTGATTCTCTCTCACCATTGATGTTTCTATCTTATTTCTCTCCCTCTTCCTTCCTCTATGAAATTAATAAAAAATATATATATTTTGAAATGTACTTATTGTTTGGCCTGCGCGGCTCAGCTTTTGATAATCCCTCTATAAACCAGGAGGTGACAGTTCAGTTCCCGTCAGGGCACATGCCAGGGCTACAGGCTCCATTCCCAGTAGGGGGAGAGCAGGAGGGTTCAGGTCAATGACGTTCTTTCATCATTAATGGTTCTCTCCACCACCCATCTCTGAAATCAATAACAATATGTTTAGGGGAAAAAAGTGCTTATTATATACCAGATTTTTTGTGATTTTGATTTCTGTAACATTTATATGTTTTTTAAAAAGGTAAGAAAACCTGTTCACAGGTCTGAATACATTTAACTGTTTAGTCATTGCTATGATGTACAATTTGTGGACTCAACGGAGACAGGCTTACACTACCTACAGTGACTACTAACTAATGTTTATTGAATATTTACTATGCACTATGCCCTTTTGTAAGCTCTTTACATATAATTTAATTAATCACAGTAATCCTATGAGATTGATGCTTTTCACTATTTAACAGATGAGGAAAATGAGGCACAGTGTTGTTTATTAAGTAACTTACCCCATGTTACATGGTTTGTACTGAATCTGAGCATCAATTAAGATTCAAACCTAGGCATTCTTAACAACTATAGCAAATATATCTCTAATTCGGGCTGTATTAACAAAATACCATAGACTGGGTGGGTTAAAAAAACAAAATTTGTTTCTAAAAATTCTGGAGGTTGGGTCCTTCTAGATCAAAATTCTAGCATGATCAGAATTCTGGTGCAAGTCCTCTTCCTGCTTAGTATATGAAGTCTTCTCACTGTATCCTGACATGTCAGAGAGAGACCACTCTAAATACCTAATTTCTAAAAGACTCACCTCCAAATTATCATCACATTTCAGCTCCAACATGTGACTTTTGGGGGAACACAAAAATTCTATCCATAACAATATGTTACATAGTTCCTTTGTGAGCCTTTCTGAAATCTTATCTACCTTTTATATCAGTTTTCTGTAAGAATTGTCATGTAGAAAATCAACCTTTGAAGTGACTCATTGTAATTTGGAAAATTCAGTTACAATAGAAACATTTCTTGTTTAATTTCCACTAGTAATTGTGACTTTCCTTGTTTTCTGACATGTAAAATGTGAATTAATACTTATTTTAAGTATTAATATGTATATATACACATACATATAGTTGTATGTGTATAATAATACTGTCATATGTGTAAGTTTGCACACATATACACAGGCTATTATAATTGTTTAGAAGGTTTTTAAGTAACAAAAGCAGTGAGGCACAGCAATTACTAAGATTGACTTAGTAGATGTTTAACCTCTTTTTGTCTTGGTTTTCTTTTCTGTAATACGGGTATAATGTGCCTTTTAGAGTTGTTTGTGAGGATTAATGGACTTAGATCGGGATTTAATAACTTGTAAATTAGTATATTAATGATGAAATAGTACTATATTACACCTATATCTAGCATAGCACCTATATTTTTTAAGTTAATGAACAAATTATGTTTAAATGGTTCGATCTAGTAAATTTTTTAAAACAGTATAAAATAAAATACACTGCTGTTCATTAAAATCAGTAAGTCACATCATCTTTTATTCAGAGGAGAGTAAGAAATCTTGAAGAACAAAGGTTAAGTAACTTGAAGATTATGCAATTTTCCAGTAATTACCAAGTTACTTGTAACTAAACCAGGTCTGGTACCCTGGTCTTTAGTCTTCCAGGCCCCCCCCCTTTTTTTTTTTTCTCCCCTCTCTTCTTTTTAATAAACAAGGGACTAGTGGGGATAAAACACAAGATAACTTCATTGTGAAGAATTTTAGTGACATGGTAAAACTATTAGAAATGTTTTAGCAATAATGGTTTACCCAGAATAATTAGTGGTCTACTTAAATTGTGTGTGTGTGTGTGTGTGTGTGTGTATGTGTGTTTTAAGTAGAACCACAGTATTCTTTATGAGAAGCCATGACCTTGAATTTTTTGGTTTTCCTATACCCTGCTACTATTAATGTGATACCAATCAATTATCCTTGAAAATTTTTCCATTCTATTGAACATCCTCATAGTAGAAAACAAAATGTGAAGGCTTTTTATGTGTATATTACTAATTAATGCTAGCATTATATTTGAAGTACCTTAATTCTATTTACAAAGAATTACTTCAGTGGAATTTGTATAATGTTTTTATAATCTTTATTCTCAAACTAGGTAGTGAGTAGGTAATTTAGTTTAATTGTTGAATAGACTAGTTAAATTGTCTTAATTAAAAAAAAATAGTGTTAGAAAAACTTTGGGCAGTGACCTAATTCAACTTCAGTTTCAACAAAATCACATCTACAGTATCCTGGCAAATGGTCCTGTAACTCTACTTAAATATTTTCTTGGCTTGAATTTTTATATTATCTGGAAGCATAAGAAAATTTCATTTAGGTAACTTCAAACTCATCTTAAACCTCATAATTCTTTATTGCTTGAAAATGTTAACTTCCCATTTTAAGCAGTAATTAGTCCTAATAAGTAATTTTAACATACTTTTTAATTTTCAGATTGCCCAAGGACTCCAGACACTCCCAGTAGTGACCCTCGTTGTTCTACTAGCAATAACAGATTGATGGCCTTAAAAAAACAATTGGATATAGAGCTTAAAGTAAAACAAGGTGCAGAGAACATGATACAAATGTATTCAAATGGATCTTCAAAGGTAGGTATAATTAATATAAGTAGGTACAATTAATATAAGAATTCAGATTCTGTAAGTGTGAATTCACCTACCCACTAAAATTTATCTATAACCTGACAAGAGTACTTATAACACTTCCACAGTCATTTGTGGACATATACAAAGGGACAATAAATTTGAATTATTTGATGTACATGTTCACAGCTAAGATTGAAAAAGGTGATGCTCCACCTTCTCATGTAATCACTTATATTATAAATCAGAAAATTTCAACTGGTGTGCCTCAAGAATTTTTAAAATGTGTAATACCTGACTATTTAGTCACAGGCACTGGCCTCTTTTTCCTTTAGTTGTCAGATTTAAAAATGACAACAGTCACCACAACATTTGTTTGGTGTGACCAAGTCAAAATATCCTTTTTTATTTTTTATCAGATCGTCAAGAAATATATTTTAGTGTGCTACAGAATTTTAGTAATTAGTTTGTGTGTGTCATGAGATGAAAGGGTGAAAATTGCTGATATGACAAGTATATTGCAAAACAAGTTGGAAACAAATGGTTTTTAAAATAACTTATTTCTACCTAAACCAATCAAAAAATACTTTTAGCTGTATGGTAAAGGGTACATAGTAACTCTCCATATTTGCAACTTTTCTAGAACTCAAATTATTCTAAAACAAAAAGGTTATTTTAAAACTAGAGGCCCGATGCAAGAAATTCATGCAAGGGGCTTGGCCCTCACAGCTGTGGTGGCTGGCCTTGGTCCTTGCAGTTCCAGCTTCGTCCAGAAGGTCGTCCAAAAGGACATCTGGCTGTCCAGTCAAATTAGCATATTATGCTTTTACTAGAGGCCTGGTGCATGAAATTCATTCACAGGGGCGGGGGGGAGGGGATGGTCCCTCAGCCCAGCTTGCACCCTCTCCAATCTGGGACCCCTCAAGGGATGCCTGACTGCCCTTTTAGGCCCGATCCCACAGGAAGTCAGACATCCCTTTCACAATCCAGGACTGCTGGCTCCCAGCTGCTCACCTGTCTGCCTTCCTGATTGTCCCTAATTACTTCTGCCTGCCAGCCTGATCACCCGTTAACCACTCCTATGCCAGCTAGATTGATGCCTAACTGCTCCCTTGCCATCCTGTTTGCCCCAACTTCCCTCCTCTGCCGCCTGGTCACCCCTAACTGCCCTCCCCTGCAAGGTTGATCCCCTCCGACTGCCCTTCCTTGCAGGCCTGGTCCCTCCCAATTCCCCTCGCCTGTTGGCCATTTTGTAGTGGCCATCTTATGTCCACGTGGGGCAGGATATTTGACGACATAGGGGCAGCTATCTTGATCTTGTGTGTTGGAGTGATGGTCAATCTGCATATTACTCTTTTTTTTAGATGGATAGAGGCCTGGTGCTCAGGTGAGGGCCGACTGGTTTGCCCTAAAGGGTGTCCCAGATCAGGGTGGGGGTTCCCTTGGGGCATGGGGCAGCCTGAGGGAGGGGTCTGTGGTGGTTTGCAGACCAGCCACGCTCCCTGGTAAGCCAAGTGGAGGCCCTGGTATCTGGAATTTATTTACCTTCTACAATGGAAACTTTGTAGCCTGGAGCGGAGCCACGCCTCCTCCTCCATTCATGGCTGCCATCATTTCTATAATTAAAACTTTATATCCTTAAGTGGAGGCCTGGGCCTGCCAGAGAGTATGGAAAGCTTGGCTTCCTCTGTTGCCGGGGAAACCCAAGCCTCCCTTCTGGTAACCATCTTGGTTGGGTTTATTTGCATACTTGCTCTGATTGGCTGGTGGGCGTGGCCTGTGGGTATAGCAGAGTGATGGTTAATTTGCATATTGTCCTTTTATGAAGTAGGCTTGTTATGGAAATTTAGGCTCTAATGAGTTTTCCATCACTACATACAGGTTTTTAGAAAACGACAAATTAAAAGATAGGACATTCTGGCATAAGTGATTGATTGGACTAGACTTGTGGGTTCTTAGTATATATGGTATGGGCATATAATTCCTAATTGTAGAACAGTGTTGCAGTGTTGTCATTAATGCAAATGTGTCCTTTTTCTGAGGTATGGTGTGGGAAAGAAAATGTTGGAAACCACTGAAATACATTATCATGAAGGTTCTTTCCAATCTCAAGTTCTATAGTTGTGTAATTTCCAAAAAGTCTTAAAAAAGTCAATTTATTATAAAATCCACCTTTTTACTCTCAACTCTTTACTTCAAAGATACTTGGCTCTGCAAATTATTGTTTCTTTTATATTTTATTTTTATTTATTTATTTATTTATTTATTATATTTTATTGATTTTTCACAGAGAGGAAGAGAGAGGGCTAGAGAGTTAGAAACATTGATGAGAGAGAATCATCGACCAGCTGCCTCCTGCGCACCCCCTACTGGGGATGTGCCCACAACCAAGGTACATGCCCTTGGCCGGAATCGAACCTGCGACCTTTCAGTCTGCAGGCCGACGCTCTATCCAATGAGCCAAACCAGTCCCGGCTCTTTTGTATTTTAATAGATATTTCTTAAGTAATTTCAGAATGGAAGTTTAGGCATTTGTTTGTTTTGTTTATTTTGTCTTTAGTTTGGAAGAGTTTGAAATCAGATGGGGGAAATCTTTACTTGGAGCCATGTAACATACCTACACACCCAAATGAAATTTGGGAGGACAGAAAAGAAAGAAATGTATATATGTTTTAAATAAAATGTTACAATCTTAGTTATGAAAATGAGATTATATACAGTATTTCCAAAGAATTTTAAAATGATTTTTAGAGAAACATATTTGTTTATACTTGATATATTACTTATATAATATGATATTTGCTAGCATGTTATTTCACTCACTTTGAACATTTTTGGAGTCATAGAGTTGATTTTTCTGTTTTACTATTGACCTTTTATTTTTATCAGTGTTATTTTTATTTTGGACTAAATTTTAAGGCAATACTGTATTTTTGGAACTGTGAATGCAACGTATTATGTGGAGTGTTCTAAAATAACCCAGCTACCACCCTCTATAATAGGTTTTTTAAATGTAGGATTAATGGATTAGATTGAGAAGTTAATGAACCTTTTGAGGCTATAGGAGAAGTAAGTGTGCACGTTGATAGATGGATGAATGAGAGAGCCATAGATTTCACCATATTCTCAGTGTGGCCTGTGGGGCCCTCTTTCCCCAAATTGAGCAGGGGTGTGGACATATTAAAATCCTATCTAATATTGAGGGAATATGCTAATTGGCCCTCATGCTGTCACAAAGATAGCGGCAGCCACAGCCAATAAGGAGGGAATATGCTAATTGACTGCCCTGCCCTCAAAGATGGCTGCACCTGCAGCCAATAAGGAGGGAATATGCTAATTGACTGTCACACCCTCAAAGATAGTGGCACCTGCAACCAAAGATGGTGGCTCCCATAGCCACAAGATGGCAGCTCCCAGTTTCCCTAAGACCCACCCCCAGGTGGGCCCAGCCACTCTGCACACCTGCCTCCAGAGTTCCCCAGTTCCCTCAACCCCCCAGCCGCCCAGGGCCAGCCTGAGGCACAGGCAAGCCTCGGATGGTGTCTGCTCAGCTGAAGTCCAAGGCACAGGCAAGCCTCAGATGTTGGCTGCCCAGCCACCCAGGACCGTCCAAGGCTCAGATAATCAGGGCTGGCCTAGGGTTGCACTGCCAATAGTGGCAGCAGCAGAGGTGTGATGGGGCATTGCCTTCCTCTGATTGCCGGGTTGCCTCCTTCCCCTGAGAACTCCTGGACTGTGAGAGGGGGTAAGCCAGGCTGAGGGAACCCCCCACCTCCTCCAGTGCATGAATTTTTATACATCGGGCCTCTAGTACATAAATAACTTATGATAACCATAGGTCCAAAATGAACAGGGTTATGAGCAGCTTGCTAAAGCAAATAGATAATTCTCCAATAGCCTTTGTTTTTAATTAAAGATTCATTTATTTGAGATTGGCTCAAGTGGGGGTCCAGAACATATTAACAGCTTCTGCAATTTCTAAGGTATTGCATGTTTTAAAAATTCTCTGGCACACTGGTTGAAAATTTGCTAGTTTATAGTATAAGTTATTATACAAGAAGGTGAAGTGTCCCTTTGTTTATTTGTCAGAAGAAATCGTTAAAGTGTTATATAAGATTTAAAGTATGATTTGGAATTTAAGAAGGATTACTTTCTAGGGATAGTGATCTGGGTAAATCTAGTATATTCAGGGTAAGGAACTGTGGAAAACCATGGCTTGTTCTAAGAAATGGGAGTGCTTTCATATGGCTATAATAGAGGCTTTCAACTTATTTCTTATCCAACATATCTGAGGTAGAATACACTTCTAATAATAGTAACAATCATCAACTGTATCAGTCATTTTCAATGAAAGGCCATGCCCTTATGGGAGAACAGATCTAAATCTCCATAAAGGCACATTTTATTTCAGAAAAGTCCTCTAGGTGATTTCAACAGGACTTTTTATTTGTTCTCTACTGGGAGAGCTTTCAATAAGTGAAGTATAATGAGAGGTATAGCATAATTGAAAGACAAACCCGATTTTAAAGTACTTGATACAAAATGAAGCATCTGAGATTCAGTCTTAGGAGCTATTTGGAGCTGCTGAAAGACTTTTAGCAATGAAAGCAAAAAAAATCAGGGTCAAAGCTATTTAGATAGAATAAATATGTAGTGTTTGAATATGAGGAAGAAGGCAGAGTCAATGATTCTTAGATTGGTATATGGACTGACTGGTGAATGGAAATTCACGACCAGGAGCAAATTTAGACTCAGGGATGGTTAATTCAGTTTGGTAATAAATAGACATCTTTAGAATTCTGGTTATTGAATTCTGTAAGATAAAATTATTACCCCAGTATATGGTATAGCCAGAATTGCCCTTTTGGGAGCTAAGTAAGATATTTTTACACTTCTGTTAAAAACCCTCCAAGGACTTTCTAGCATGCTTAGAACAAAATCCAGAGTCCTTACTGTGACTCTGCAAGTTCATACATGATTTACCCCTCACTGCCTTCTGATTTTTT